CTCCTCCTCCCCCTCCTCCTTCCCCTCCTCCTCCCCCTCCTTCCCTTTGCAGACTACTGATTGACGAAACTCTTATTAAGCGAGTGACATCAGATATGGCTATGTAATATGGAACCGATTTCAACCAATATAATATATACTCCGATATTGTTAGCTCTTTGCTTTTGTAGATGATGCGGCGAGCGTCGGGTCTGTACTAGCAGGCTCTTTCTTTGGCTATGGTAGAATATACTCTTTTCTAATTCTCCTTTCTATCGTTTTTCTTTTTTCTTTTGCTTTGCTCTTCCCCATTGTTGGGGTATTTCGTTTTACGGACCTATTGTATGGTTCCGTTTTTTCAAGTGTTGGTTATGGTAGAATTGTTGGTATTTTTGGTACTCTTTGTCTGCATCCCGGTTGGTTCTGTCTCGTCGTTCAGTCCACGTGGCGGTGGTTTCATGTGGGACTTGTCATCCGGGTTTTTGCTTGTGGCATCCTAGTTGGCTGGTTCTCGTTGATTGGCCTATCGAAGGGGGCGGTGCTTTTAGGTGGGAATCGTCATCTGGGATTGTCTTTATATATATATATTTTTTTATTTTTTATTTTTTTGCAGGCAAGGGTGTTGATTGCTATCGTGGTTTGTCATTGTCCCGTCGTTTGGCCTGTGACGTATGGGGCGGTGCTTGCATGTGGGACTTGTCATCTAGGTAGGATCTGTTATGTTTGTTTTTTGGCACCCTTGTCTGCATCCCGGTTGGTTTTGTCCCCTTGTTGTTCGGTCTATTTTGGCTACGAGCGTAGCGGTGCTTTCATGTGGGACCAGTCATCCGGTTTTTTTTTTTTTGTTGTTGTTCGGTCTATGAGAGCATGAATGGTTTTGGAATGGGAATACCAACGTCTTGATGACGAACAAGGCCATCTGCTGTATATAGATATGTATTTGGGATTTCTGTTTTTGCAGGCAAGAGTGTTTTGATATCCTCGTTCGTCTTGTCCCGTTGTTTGGCCTATGAAGTTGGGCGCGGTGCTTACATGTGGGGCTTGTCATCCAGGATCTTGTTGCCCCCTGTTTTGTTATATTTGGCTGTTCCCTTCCTCTTTTCTTTGCCTCTTTGCCTTTTGACTGTGTGCAAGTGGGTCGATATGACACACGGGGGTGGGGGCAGCCGCCGCTCAACCACATCCACGTGGGCGGCCTTGTACGCAAGAGGTTCTGAACAGTGGGACTGGTAAGGAAGAAGATAAAAAATGAATTGATATCTTTTTTGTTTCCTTTTGTGTTTTTTCGTTTTTGCGCTCTGATATCTTTGTGACAATATATATTGGGTGCTTGTTCTGTGAGGTTTGGTTTCCTCCGCCTTTTCTTTACCTCTTTGCCTTTTGGCTGCGTGCAAGTGGGTCTTTATGACACACGGGGATGGGGGCAGCCAGCGCTCAACCTGTCATCCACGTGGCTGGCCTTGTACGTAAGAGGTGATGAACAGGTGGGGCTTCCTTCCTTCCTTCTTTTCCTTTCCTTGTTTTGCTTTTTTTCGCCTTCGCGCTCTGATTTCCAGTGTGACAATATATATTGGGTTCAGCCTGTTGACGAGTCGGTGAAACTCGGACGAAACAGTCCGGCACAGCCCCTCGTTTGTTGTCCTCTTCTCCCTCTCTGCCTATGGTTTACCGTAGGCAGTTCTGCTTGACGATATATAATACAGGAAAAATAGATAAAATTCCATGTGCATATATATCGTCAAAAAGAGCTGCCCGGTAAACTGTAGGCATCAAATTTTATCTATTTTTCCTGTAAACAATGTATTCAAACAGAACTGCCCGGTAAACCGTAGGCAGAGAGGGAGAAGAGGACAACAAACGAGAGGCTGTGACAAACTGTTTAGTTAGAGTGTATATGTTTGACGATATCGTTTGTTGTACTCTTCTCCCTCTCTGCCTACGGTTCACCGGGCAGCTCTGTGTGACGATATATATACCGGGCAGCTCTGTTTGACGATATATATATGCCCCCTGATGAGTCGGTGAAACTCCAACGAAACAGTTTGTCACAGCCCCTCGTTTGTTGTCTTTTTTTCCCTTCTCTGCCTACGGTTTACCGGGCAGCTCTGTCTGACTATCTATAAATATGTATATTCTGTATATTCAGCCTCCTGATGAGTCGCAACGAAACAGTTTGTAAATCTGGACCCAGTATATCGTCAAACAGAGCAGCCTACGGTAAACGGTAGGCAGAGAGGGAGGGAGAAGAGGACAACAAACGAGGTTTGCTGTGACAAACTGTTTCGTCGGAGTTTCACGGACTCATCAGGAGGCTGAACCCTCAACAGTCTGCAGAATCCCCTAACTGATTACACTGTTAAGTGATAATCCACCTTAACACTCGAAATGGTACCCTCTCGTTACTGCCAGGGGAGCCACTTGATTGAGATCGCTTGCAAACAGAAAGATCTGACCGTCAGCAGTGGCGGCCGTAATTGTGAATTCAAAACCCCTTCCCCTGTAAACCTGGACCCCTCACCAAAGAAATGGAGACTGAACACAACCTTCCCTCTCCCCCCCCCCCCCCCCCCCCCCCCCCCCCCCCCCCCCCCCCCCCCCCCCCCCCCCCCCCCTCCCCCCCCCCCCCCCCCCCCCCCCCTCCTGTTTCTTTTCCCCTACTTCGCTCCCTTCCCAGGAATGGCAGCGGTTTTGTCCTGAGCCTGTCGGGGGGCGCATTTGCTGAGTGTGTGCGAGGCACACAGGTGTCCATCCTTCCTTCCTCTCTTCCTTCCTTCCTGCCGGCCGGCCGGCCTGCCTGCCTGCCTGCCTTCCTCCCTGCCTATTGAGGCATTTTTTTTTGTACTTTTTTGTTGTTTTTTTTCGTGATTGTTTGCCAATTTCTTTGACTACGATATTCAAAAATTTTGGATTCATTTTAAGATTTGCCTGCCTGCGTGAACCTTAGTGTTGTTTCTCAATGTTGATGATGATACCTTTCGACGAGTTGACTGAATGTGGTCGCTTCTTGCATTGTGTTTGGAACGGAATGGAATTCTGTGTTTCCAGGATTGATGGTTTTGTGGGCATATCCAGAAAGGAGCAAAGCCATCAAGGTTGTGGAAAACAATTGTTGTGCTTCCCAAAAAGGTAGGTCCTTTATTCCCTTGCAGCCACTAACTGCAATAGGAAGGCAAGAGAAGATGAGATGCATTCATACTAGATTACAGCAAAAGAAACCACATTGCTACACTACCTGTATATGTATGTGTGCGGCGTGCACGGCAGCGAGAGGGGGGCTGCATATTTGTAGTTTGTGGGCAAACGAAGCAGAGGTCTGCATGTATATGCTCATGTGCGTGCGTACACACACACACACGAGTGAGTGGGGGAGAGAGAGAGAGAGAGAGAGAGAGAGAGAGAGAGAGAGAGAGAGAGAGAGAGANAACATAGAAAAATATTAAAAATGGTAAAAGGAAAAAGAAACAAAACGAAATCGGTTATTTATAAAATTTTTCTTGGAATTTAATTTTGGCAAACCTACGATTAATTTAATATTTCCAACGATAAAATTAAGGAAAGGGAAGAATGATGAAAATTGATGAAAGGGACGGGAACGCATGATTATCAGGAGGGAGGCCTAATTTCGCCTCGATTACCCCGACGTTAGTTCTGACCCTGGATTGAATATTTTCCCTGGGTTTTGTCATTTTTTTTTACTACCCCTGACGGCTGAGATTTCCTGAGTCGCTTTCCCGGGTTTGCTTGATCACTAACACTGACTACTGTTAAGACGTTCTGAGTGCGAGGGACACATGGACAGGCGCGTGCCTGACGTGCTTCGGGTGCGGTTGATACCTGTGTCGCTACGGAGACGTATTTTCAGACTCCGGACAGCTGCGCTGATTTATCCTGACAGATATTCCAGTTTTGGGACCTCGGCGGCAGATTGTTTTCAGGTCCGGAAAAGTTGCGGCRCTGTATATCAGGATCGGGACACTGGTTGGAAACAGGCTCGGTACACTGGTTTGAAACAGGCCCGGTATAATTCTGGTACCGCTGCCTGGGCGGGCCCAGGCTTGCGAGCCTGGCCTAGACTGAGTCATTGGTCCGCGTYCGCTAACGCTCACAGGCAAGAGTGCGGCCAGGATATAGGAGAGGYCAGCGGACCACAAAGAGGGAGGTGTACGTGGTGTACACCGCGGGAAAAGCTCSGTTCCGGAGGGAGCATGCCAGGTGTACACAGCGGAATACAGCATGCGTCTAGGCAGGTCAACGGGCGGAGAGCGGAAGAGAGGGGACGGAGAAACATTGGGGGGGGACAGCGTGCCAGGCGTACCAAGTGGTCTGCTGTTACGACRGGCCACCGAGTCGCGGGGGCAGTGGAGGAAGACCAGGGGAACCAGAGCGAACGGGGAGGAGTGACCAAGGCGTCCGTGTGTGAGGGAGAGAGAGGACTGTGTGTGTGAGAGAGAGAGAGAGAGAGAGAGAGAGAGAGAGAGAGAGAGAGAGAGAGAGAGAGAGAGAGAGAGAGAGAGAGAGAGAGGAATTTGTTGAGGGGGTTTGGCGATGGAAGACTGATTGAGGGCTTGTTGGAGCAGAGGATCAGACGGACGAGAGACACGTTGATGCATTACAGGTGAGACTGGAGGGCGTTTTGGTGGGTGTGGCAATAGGGTTTAGGAACGTGGGGTGTTGGGCGTGTGGAGGGCTGCCAAACGCAGGTGCTTGATGTGTTTGGAGTGTTTCAGATGTGTGCCATTGTTTTTTTCCTGATAGATGTTTTGCTATTGCTCTTGTGCAGAAGTGCATCTGCTTGAATGTATGACTTTGTGGGTTGTGTCCTGTAAACCAGTGAAAGCAGAAGAATGCTAAGTGAAACTTCCGAGTGCAAGCACAGCTGGTTTGGTCTTTGTATTTGGCGCAAGAGAAACCCTAAATGCAAAACTCCCCCCTCCCCCCTGCCCCCTCCCCCCTCCCCTACTGACTGCTGTTGGGTATGTACTATGTACCCCACCCCACTGTTGTTCTACTGTTTTCGCAGGCTACTGACTGCTGTTGGGTATGTACTATGTACCCCACCCCACTGTTGTTCTACTGTTTTCGCAGGTGCCACTCGCTGTTTGGCAAGATTGAACATCTTCTTGGCCATTCCCCTGTGCTTTGTCATAATGCTTGGAGGCGCTTTTTGCTTTATTGGACCGGCAACATGCGTCATGGGTTATATTATGCTCATCGGGACAACCTTCCTGGTCATCGGGAATGGGATAGCGCTTTTTCTTCAATCCAACCTGCCTCTTGGCGGCGAAGGCGGACTGGAACTCAATGCAATGAATCAAATTGAGACTTCTATGTTCACAGATGAACTGCCAGTTGCAGTACCGGCGGCATCGAAGCCCATACCAAAGGGTCCTGCGTCTGCCACTGCGGAAGTTCTGCCTCCTCCCTAAGGCACGCCTCGCTCAGGAGAACATTTTCCTTTCTGGTTATCATAACCCAACATTGGGGCCCCAGTGGGCATGCTATACTTACAGCCCCCGCTGGCAAGTATAGCATGTGTCCTCCCCAGTGGGCATGCTATACGTACCGCTCCCAATGGGAAGTATATATAGCATGTGTCCTCCTCGTGTGAGCATATCTGTGTATCGTAGATATATGCGTGAACACGCATTCACAGACGTGCGGAGACACCCACCCCCCCGCCCTTCCCATGACGAGGGGGAGCGCTGATACCTTCATGTTACAGCGCTCCCCCACGGCGCTCCTCCTCGGCGCCCTCCCTGCCCCCCTCCCCTCCTCCCTAGCCGTCGTGAAGATTGCATGATTATGAGGCATATCATCTGGACTGTATTCGCGCAGATGTTAATACAGTCCAGAGATGTTGAATTACGATAGCTGCCATACGAAGACGTGTTGCGTAGAATATTGTTGTCATGTACATATGGAAGATGCTGTTGTGGTGCCCTGGTGGACTGTTGCTGGGGAAAGTTGGAGGCCCCTCCTCTGTAGAGCAAAATGAGGCCCATAAGTAAAAGATCTGGGGTCTTTTTTGGGTCCAAGTTGAGGCCACAATAATGAGCGGTTCCTGGTTCTGTCGACACACCCATTGGAAAGTGACCGGGGATCGAATGAATTGCCCGTAGAAATGTATACGCATTGGAAAATGAGTGGGGATCGGAAATGGATACGTGAGAATAGTAGGTGTGAAAGGGGAACTGTAACCTGTACCGCAGCATCGGCCTTTCTCGAGTTTATTTCATCTGGCATGAAAATGGGAGGATGAACCGGGAATTTCAGGAGTTGAGGTAATCTCGTTCGCCCAGTTCAATTCGCGTTAAGAGATGGGAAAGGCTACTTGGCAATACTTCTGGGGGACACTCTTGACTGGCCAGAACAATGAGGAGGACCTATCAGGTGTGTGGAAATGGATATGGCTACACACCTTGCTGAAACAATTGGTGCCTTGCAAACCTGCCAGAGTGAATGTCCACTGCAGGCCTGGTCCTTTGTGTGGATGTGTGTGTGTGTGT